GTAAGGCACTCGGCCATCATGAATCCCGATGACTCCACTAGTGGGTTCCGGCATGCCAAGGTGTTAACGTTCGTCAACGAGCAAATGGCCAAGCACTCAAAAGGGCCCAAGTTCTACCTTGAGAACCTGTCCCTGTCCTGGGAGGAGGTGGAAGAAAAGCTCAGAGTCCTCCTAGACAGTAGCGAGGTGCCTCGGGAAGTTCAGGAAGCCTGTGCCTGGAGCAGCCTGGCCTTGGGTGTTCGCTTCGCTTTCAGACAAGGCCAGTTGCAGGAGCGCAGGGTGCAGTGGCTCCATGACTTTGCCAGCCTGCACAGGTCAGCGGCACATGCCTTGGCATCAGACCTGAAGATGCTCACAGACCAGCAAGAGATGGAACGCAAGGAGGCGGCCTACCACCTTCAGTTGGCCCACACCAAACTCGCAGAGGTTCAGAGGGAGAGAGACCTGATGAGACTGAAACTACTGCACGCAGTAAGCTTACCTCCTAACCCAGTCTTACCCCCACCCCTTTCCACCCCTACACCCATACCCCATTCCAGGAATGTGTTTCAACTCTGCTCACTTCTCTCCAGGAGCTGAGGGCTGTTCCAGTTGCACAGATGCCAATCATGACTAGTGCCCCTGCTGCTGCTGCTGCTGCTGCTGCTGCTGCTGCTGCTGCTGCCGTGGCTGCAGCTGCCACGGCTGCGGCCGGAGGGGCACAGACAGGGCCAGAGATACAAAATGCAGGAGAGAAAGAAGCGGTGACAGCTAGTCATACAGCAGAGTATAAACCAGAAAATGAGATGGAAGGGGCTATAGCCATGGCTGCCCCTAGGGTGTCCACAGTGGCGCTGGAAGGAAGCATCCTGGAGGATCTTGGAACTGTGGAGTGGAAAACTTATCCCCTGGGCTTGGAGGGGCAGGAGTGGGAAGGCAAATCTGCCTCCACGGAATGGAGTCTCATGGCCGCTGCCTCCCCACAACCTGTAACAATCCAACTCCCCGTCTCACTTACATATTCATACAAAAGCCCCTTCCCAGTCACACCCACTCCATCCCCACCACCAAGCACAGTCACAGAACCTCAGATGCCTCCCTACTTCATGGCCACTGATATGAATATGTCCAAAACTGAGGGCCCAACAGTGTACCTCCAAGATCCCCCTAAAGATAGTTACGATAGTGAACCCCAGCAGGAGATCAAACCATCATTTTGCACGTCTGAGGACTGGAATTGTCCTTGGTGTAAATCTGTGAATGTTTCAAGGAAGGATGCTTGCTTCCGCTGTGGGAGGCAAGGCTGGCTGCCAAACCCTCAGTGAGTTTTTAAAAATGTGATAGGAAACAGAAATCCCCCAAAGGGGAAGTCAATTTTCAGAGGTGGGAAAAGGAAAGTGGGAGACGGGGTTCATGGGAGTGGGAGGGGAGGAATGGGGTGGGGCAAGTTTGATGATTTCTTTTGTATTCCAGATTGTTTGCATTCGATACCCTTGAACTGCTTCAGAGAGAGAGAGAGAGGGAGGGAGGGAGGGAGGGAGAGAGAGAGGGAAGGAGGGAGGGAGGGAGAGAGAGAGAGAGAGGGAGAGAGGAGGGAGGGAGGGAGAGAGGGAGAGAGAGAGAGAGACAGAGAGAGAGAATATGAATGTGTATGTGTGTATATTCCCTCCTGGAACAGCTAAATATAAAATCCCCCCCCCTCCTTTCCACATACCTAGGTTTTAAAAGACAGACCTATAGTGGTTATTCAACCCATCCTGAGCCAAAACTTTTCAGGCTGTCTGGTGGAGTAGTGGGTAGAGTCAGTGGATCACTGGAAGTTGGGTCCAGGGTCATAGCCATACTAGAGGTACAGCCCATTCCTGGTCCTGGTTAAGGTAGGGAACAGAATCAGCTGCTTTCCAGACATTTTTAGACTGATACTAGTAGAAGACTCCAGGAAGCTGACAGAGAGAGACACAAAGGCTCAACTGGCTTCAGAGAACTTCTTACTTCTTTGAGGTTGTGTTACATAACATTCTGTTTTTACCTAGTTCACTTCTCCATAAATTAACAAGTAGATTCTTGTTCTGAGCAACTAGATAATTTTCCTATAAGCTAACTTTTCTTCTATATCTTGTTTTTTTTATTATTTTTTAAAAAAGGGGGGAGGGCTCGTATGTCCCAGAGTGGCTTCAAACTCATGTAGCTGACTCCAGATCCTCCTGCCTCCGCTTCCTAAGTGTTGGAATTGACAGGGGAGTTGAACAAGTGGATAGCAAACAGTGGTGACTCTTTTATACCAAGGCCTCAGGAATAAACTGGATAGGACGTTTATGTTCTGCAGAAATTCTTTTGTCAGAAATAGCTCAAACCTGGGGTGGTTGTTCCCAGGAGTGAACTGGATAAGAGGCTCACTTTCTAAGAGAGTCATATAACAAGAAATTAAATCATCAAATGAGACCTGGGATAAATTAACCCCAGGTTTATGCTTCACTCAAATTAACATGACAGAGATTTGCCACCCGTATGAAAGTTCTGAGAGACTACAGAGGATGCCAGCACCAGGTTCAAGCAAGGATTTCTACAATTATACAGCCTCTTAACAGAAATCTTCCCTAGCCCCAGTGGGCAGAACCAGAGACAGATCTTAACAGGAAACGTATGCCAAATGCTCCAAGGTGAGTCAGCTACTGAGAGTGCACAGAGGGTTTGACAGTCCATGTGGGCCAAAGCATAGTGCTAGCTGGTGGCATTCTCTCTTCTAACTGGGCATCATGCTAAATGGAGGAGAATGTGGATTTCAAAGGCTCTTGGTGTATTCAGAAAGTAAGTAGAACAGAACTCTATCTCAGTGGGAGGGGAGTGGTGGAAGAAGGTGAGAGTGGTGGGGGGTAAAGGGTAGGAGGGGGATCAGTCTGTTTCTCTCCCTTTATGGATATAAAATGTGTTGAGAGGAACTATGTATGTGTTTTAGTCCTCAGGTAGAAGGAAGGAGAAGGACTGTATCTGGACCAGACTGAGACACAACTGGAAGAGTCCTGACTATCTCCCAAAGACTATGAACCTGGAGAATAGGAAGCGGTTGCAGCCCATGGGACACCTATAGCATCAGAAATGTGACCTTGGGTTGTCTGTTATTGGTGAGGATACAGTTACCTCTAGGATTGCAGGCCAGATCCCTAGCCTGCAATTTTTTTAACACCCTTTGGGCTTGGTTATCTCCCTCTACTGCAGGGTTTCCTAACCTCACTGCACTTGACATCTGGATTTGGATAGTTCTTTGCTGTGGGGTAGGAGGTCCTATGTACTGTAGGAGTTCGACAGATTCCTAACCTCTACCCACAGTATATCTGTCTGTGTGACCCACTCCCTACCCCTTGAGTTGTGACAATCAAAACTGTCGCTTCATACTGCCACATGTCCACTAGAGGGCAAAAACAACCAGAGTTGGGAACAACTGAGTTGGCAGTTGAAGGACTTAGCAGTGCAGACAAAGACTGTAACAGGCAAGGTCACAGAGGCTGAAGGTGGCTAAAAAATGTTCATCAGGGCTGGTGTTTACTTTGGATCTTCAAGAAAACTCAGGGTGGTGGCAGAAGTAGAAACCAAACTGCCAGGACTGAGGACTGAGGAGTGAGGGGAACCTCTACCCTCTACAACAGTGTAATACAGTGCCTCCTGTGATGGTGACTCCCAACTATAAAATTATTTTCATTGGTTCTTTATAAGTACAATTTTCCTACTATGGTGAATTATCATGTAAATACCTGTGTCTTCCAAAGGTCTTAGGTGATCCCTGTGGAAGGGCTGTTTGATCTCCATAGGGATTACAACCACAGGTGGAGAACCACTGCTTTACAGGGACTCTAGGCTGTGAAAGGAAGGAATAAAGCCATGTTCAAGAGAGGATTATTTTGTCAGTTAGCCAACATGCTTGGCAAAATAATTAGATAAAATTTCTAACAAGCGTTTAAACTCTGATAAAGGCTAACAGTTAAGGTTAGGTACTTTTGGAGCAATTTACTCAAAGATAAAACATTCCAACCTGCAGGAAAGCTCCTGAAGACTCATTAATAGAAACTTGAGCCATTAAAAGCAGATATACGGAGAAAGCTTTAAATGAAAGAAAAAGAGGAAAGATGGTCTTGTGTAATGTATAGGAGGAATAGCCAATGGTGTTAGAAGGAAAACAACACTATGAACCATTGTGTTCTAAGGGACCATTGTTGTTCTGTATAAGATGAAAACACTTAAAATTCTTAGATATGTATACTATATGTTACAAATTTATGTCTACAAAATCTATATTTCAGTAAGCATTGAAAAGATATGGAAAAAACACTTAGGAAACAGGCAGGGAACAGAAGGCAGCATGGTATAGGGGTATAGAATAGAATATAGCAAAGTTTGAATTAAAGTTTTTTTTTATGTACTTCTGTGTTTTGAAAGTAATAAGGTGTTCACAAAAATAAAAGTTATTTACCCACTTCAGTTTGGAAAGGCTATTTCTTCCTCAAAGATAGGACAGAAGACACTGATATCTGGCAAAGAGGTGACATTCCAGGGGGTAGCAGCTGAGAGAGAGACAGAGACAGAATTATATTGGCAGTGCACCTGCAAATGAGTGAGGTCGGGAGTCCTGTGCAGTGAGAGGACTTTGCCTTAAGGTATTTATGAATTTAAGAATAGGACATGGATGGAGAGAAAAAGATCATCAAGTTGCAGGGAATAAAGGAGAACCAAAGTGAAAATAAGACTATAGGAGTTTGGTGAAAACAGATTGCTCTTTTGGGACCTAGAAGGGGACCAAATGCAAAACTTGAAGATTTACCACTGTCATTTTAGCAGGAAGAACACATACTAAAGGAGACACGGTAAGAGGGATGAAAGGAGTTCTCAGATTGACTCATTCCTGCCCATTTAGGGCTTGTAGTATCTTCCCTTGTGCTGTTCAACAGCAGATAGATAAACTGAGTCCTGGCTGTTTTTCATGTTCAATCTTCTGGAATTGTAACATCTGATTGTGGGGCAGTAGACCAGGAGAGGAAGCCTCGCCTTCCGTTGAGGTAAAGGCTAGAAGCCCCAGCCCCGGAGACTCTGAAGGGACAGTAGGAGCTTCGCCTGCTCCCAGCATCAGGCCCCTGTCACCAGACCCCTGTCATGTAGCTCCTCCCCCCCATAGACTTGTGGCCATCAGTCACATAAGGACAATGTCCCAAGCCCTTCCACATGTAGATGAGACATCCCTAACATCTCAGAAAAAGAAAATAGGAAAAGAGATATGACCACAGGTTACGTAGGCTCAAGAGAGATCTCCAGGCTAATAAGCTATCAAGAGGCCCAGAGGGCACTGCCAATAAGATACCCTTCCCAGACATTCCTCCCCAAAAAAGGTACTTAATCTCAGGCCCACCCTGAAAAGTGGGGTATAGTTTTATGCACTCACTTTCTGCCATGACAATAAACGCATCAGAACTGTGAACCATCTCTTTTCATTGAGATCCGCTGTGGGGAGCCATGGCGAAGGCCTTCACTTACAGAGCTGCAGTCTAATCTCCCATAGAAGGCCTCTCTGTGTTCCCAGCCATAACCACCACCAAGCCTGCAGCCCATCATGCCAAAGACAACAATCACCTTGGGACTAGCAGGAGCTCCCCTTTTCCCCCTGGTCCTGGGCTACACCCAGCCTGAGGTCCCCCACTCCATTCTCAGCTCTTCTGCAACTCCCAGCAGTGCCTGAATGTCCAAGAGCCTGAGAACCCCATGGCCCTGGCCTCATCACAGGCTCATGAACCCTGGAGCCGGCTCCAGCTTTCCCATATCTCAGACTGCACTTTCCCACCCAGAGCAGTGCCTCAGGGCTTCCCTACAGCCCAACACCCTCAGCCCCAGCTGAGGCAGAGATAAGTGTAGTCAAACTGCCTGCTTTTTACTTCCCTGTGCAGCAGTGCCCAGTGGTGGAGCAGACACAGGCCAATACAACCCAACATCTGATAACCCTGACTTTATCTTTACTATCTTAAGAGTTTACAGCAACCTTCAGCTTAACTGATTTTGCAGTTTGGAGTACACAATGCTTGACAGAATAGGTGTAGCTGACACACTGACAAATTGTGCAGTTTGAAGGATCTAAAGGAAATGAAGATGCAAAAGTAATTGCAGAAGCTTCTTGTTGGAAGCTTTTCTTCATACCACAAAAGTATATTAATTTACCTCTTAAAATTCACTCCATTTTGCACATAAAGTAAAGACAAAAAGGTTAAAATAATTTGGTCAAGGGCGTATAGGTGAGTTGACCAGGTCTGACTCTAAGGTCATACTATGTGCCATGAACCAAGGCGAGCACTTATTAACTCCATATGAAGTATTGTATCAGTATTATACTGGGCGATCAAGTGACTTTTCCCAACAACCTTTACTGTATAACATCTTTTAACATTTTTGTATGTGGTCAATGTATGTGTTCCCATGGATGCATATGTGTCCTCCTGATTAGGAGATATACATGTGCATAAATACCAGAGCAGGTGGATACCAGAGTTCAAAATTGAGTATACTCCTCTGTTGCTCTCTCCACGTGATCTTTTAACTTTTTATTGGATCTTTGTGAATTTCACATCATACACTCCGATCCCATTCATCTCCCATCCTTCATTATCCTCCCACTATCCTTGCAACAGCCCCCTCCCAAAAACAAAATCTCACTGTGGAAGCTGTGTGGTATCACAGTGTGTCTGTCCCACAGTACACCCTTTTGCCCAAGTAGCTTTACTTGCAAATGTTCATTGCTATGAGTTGTTGCCCTGGGTCATGGAGATCCTGCAGCTTTGGTTCTTCAAGACTGGCCCCTTCACATGCTCCAGCAATTCATAGATGGGGTAGATGTTGGCGCAAGTCAACTAAAAGTCCTAGATCTGGGCCTAGGTGTTGGCTATATTGTTTATCCTGCAAGCTCTCCTGTACTTGCACTACCAGGGCCAGCTCTCCTGCTCGTGATAGATGGGCCTGGTTCTCCCTCACCCACCCCACCCCACAGACAGCTCTCTAGCACTGCCCTGGAGAGGGGAAGGGCCAGTTCTCCTGCTCTCACAACCTCGAGCCACTCCTCAGCATCCACCCAACCAGGGCCAGCTGTACTATGCTACCCAGGTGAAGTACAGGGCCTGCCCTCCCAAGTGCTGTAGCCAGTAGGGAGTAGGTCCAGCTGTCCCACTATCAGACCCTTGGGATCAGCTCTCCCTAGCTGCTCAGGCAAGGGGTGGGTTGTGCCCACGTTAGTGCATGGCCAACAAACAGGTGGGGCCAGTTCTGCATTCACTCCTTTGGGCTAGCTCTTTCTCACTGCCCAGGGCAGGGCAGGGCCAGCTCTTCCAAGTGCTACAGCTGGGGAGCGGAGGGGACAGCTCTGCATAGCCCTTAGGCATCAAGAAGGTCCTAAGAGGCAGCCCAGACCAGGGACATCCACATGGACTTTGGTGGTAACATGAGACATGGACGTCAACACAGATCCCTGCTGCTTTAGGGCTACGACCCAGACCAGGACCTGTGTTCATGTGTGCCACCGCCTCAGGTAGCAGCACAGGCAACTCAACATCAGGCTCTTCCTCACCACCCTTGTG